TCTCTCTTGTTGGTACGAGAGGTCAATGTCACCTCTTTAATTCTCCTCATTTGTTTACTTACCACAAAGACTTATACAACTAAAATACCCTAACCTTACTACGGATGGGCTGAGAGTTCTCAGTTTAGTCTAGGAGAGGGAGTTTATTTGCTAGGGTCGTCTTGGAAGAGGGAGGGGAGAGAGAGAGAGAGGTCTACTCTCTCTTTTCTAAAAAGAAAAATAGAAAGGACTTTTATTAGGTACTTGCATCAATCTTCTCTATCTACACCCTCCCTTTTCTTTTCTTTTTTTTTTTTCTTTATTTTTTTTTCATTGAACCTAACTCCCTCAATTTCCTCTCCATGTGGTTATCCTACCCTAATTGGAAATCAAGCTAATTATAAGTTATTTTCCTATAAATTTTGAACCACCCAACTCTAGAAAAACAGATTCTATCTTTTCTCCACACAATAAAAAAAAAAGGTGTGGTTTCTATTGGTTGCAAACTTAAACAATCCAATTAAGACACACCTAGAAATTTTATCATAACATGTAATTTTAGAGTAAAAAACTTTTTAAAATTATTGAAAATATATATTTTTATATCTAATTATAAAATTTTGAACTCTAAAAAAAGGTTAAAATCAAGTAGATCTATAAATATATTAAGATATTAAAAATGAACGGTCTAGATAATATGTTGCAAAATGCACTATTTATGGGAATCAAACTATTTTTTTTTTTCATATTCCTACATCTCAATGCCAAGATGATTAGTTGTAAGGCAACATTAAAACAATTTTTTTCGATGGATCTTTGAGTTGCATATGTAATTCTACATTTTAATGTTGCAACTTTATATAAACTTTTTCCTAAAAAAAAAAAAAGAAAAATGAACATCATGGAGGCCCAAATGTAACATAATGATGACCGGTCAAGTTTGTACAACATAGATTTATACGACTACTTTTCATCTTTGGTCCCACAGAATGAAATATGGATACGCAATTAGGGCACCTTTAGCTCGCATGAGAATCTTTCTTGGGGAGTATTTTCAGTTGAAAAATTCCCTTATGGGAGCAGGTATGAACTAAGAGTAAAAAAATATCCACAAACCATGCAAGGGAGTTTCTCACATGAAAATATTTTCGAGAAGTATTTTTACGCAAACCAAAGGTGCCTTTAGGGAAAGAGAGATCAAGAAAAGGAAAGAATCTTTGAAAGTTATAACCATTTAACCAAAGTTGAAGGCATCTCATTTTTGACGTGAGGATGCTATTTGATGCTCATGTAACAATGCAGGATTCTCTTTCTTTCTCTCTCTCTCAGCACAAATCACATACACAATATAAAATGATGCAGGATTCTCTTTCTTTCTCTCTCTCTCAGCACAAATCACATACACAATATAAAGTGAATATAATAACTTCTGCCAAGATTTAAAACCCATAACTCCCTCCCTCTATCTTTTAAAACGATTTGAGAACTTCAAAAGCCAACTCACTGTTCAATACGGAAAAACATATCCCGTAAGCGTACCGCATATCCGTATCTAGTTTTCACGTTGTGGTTTTTTATTTTGCTAACACACTTTCAAAAGCTAATTCTTTATCCTATATGAAAAGACTGGTAAGGACTTGTTTTTCTCAACTGAATTACCCAAAAACAGTAAATTAAAAATAAAGACGTTTACCATTATATCAACAACCATAAATAACTCTCAGAGAATACCTTTGAGTCCAAATGGAAGATGGCTTTGCACACGTGTGAAAAGTTCGGGTCCGGCGAACCGACCATGCTCTAAACGAGCCTATTAATTTGCTCCATGTGGTGAGTGGAGCCCTTAAAAATGATTCTTGATAAGGATGAATCGATGAACAACAGGTATAAACCAACAGTCACATTCCTGGTCTATGAGCGCTATAAATTGCCAGCATTTTGGCAATATGTTTGTGGAGCTCCCTCATCAGTGCCTTTGCCTGTGCCTGTGCCTGCAACAAAGAACGCCATGGTACTAAATAGTACCCCCAAAAACTTTAACTCAAAGGAGGAGTTCATAGCATGGATGATGGAATACGACAGAGACGGAGATGGTCGCATTAGCAAGGGCGAATTACGAGAGGTGGTCAGCAAATTAGGCTCCTGGTTCCCATGGTTTAGGTGCCGCAAAGCCATGGCTGCTGCGGATGCTAATCACAACGGGATCATAGACGACGGCGAGATGCCTGCCCTCGTCAATTATCTTCACGAGTGGTCAGGAGTGAAGATCACAGTTTACTAAGCCAACTAGTATCTAAAAGGCTAATCATGCTTTTCATGTACTACTGTAGATTTCTATGAAGCAATATAAAGTACTAAATATCATAATCTCTTATCGGTTGGAGCATTTAGATGTCACAATTATTTACAACCATCCGATGTGAAATCTGATATTTTGAGTGTGATGCAAATAATATTAAAGTTATTTTAATTTTTTAGTATTATTTAGTTTATCTCTTCAGGAATAATATAGGAAGTGTGCCGGGATATTTGTGAGCGAGTTTGTATGTGAGTTGATATTTATGGATTTGGGTTAATTAGTTACTGATTGATTTGGGTTACTTTGGGAGTATAAATAAATAAGGCTAAATTAAGGGAGCTAGGATGGTACGTGAAGTTAAGGGAAGAGAAAGAAAATAGAAAAGAAGAGATAAAATAAGAAAAGTGTAGAGAGAGAGTTTTTTTGTTAATATTTATCTTATTTTTTAGTTCCCTTCATTGTAAAAAAAAAAAGTAGATGAGTTAATAAAATTTGATTTAATAAAGAGATTATTTTTGGGTGGATTCCCTTGCAGACCTTGAGAGAGGGTATATTCGGGGTGAATTATTGAGAGAGGATATATTCTCTCAGCCTTTTATTTTTATTTTTGTTTTTATTTATTTTTTTACATCAAGGTGTATCACAAAATTCGAAAAAATTTCATTTAAACTTTGAGCTTGGTCAATGAAATAAATACAACTACCCAATTTCACATTGAATGATCAATATTAATTGTGACCACCTTGTACCAAAGGTAACCTGGTACAAATCAAATCAAAGGCGAAGCTTTGAGTATAATAAGATGCATGGGCTCAACTATTCAATATATGGGTTTCTCACTTACAAAGACCTCTTTCACTCTTATTTACCCTTATGAAAACAAAACAAAGGAAAATTTTTATATAAAGCATAAAAAGTAACGCTGTACTAAAAAATCCTACCTAAAAATGTCATTCTAGTATTGGAAACCACTCACATTTGATCATTTCAACCTTGATAACTATAAACTTGAATAAAAAACGGATTCCAATTCCTTAAAATAATACATCTTGCAACATATCACGTAGACTTTATATTTTCAAGTGTTTGCAAATCTGTCAAATTTACACCATTTTTAGAGTTTCTGTTTTCATAATGGCGAAAATGAATTTTTGGGACATCCTAGTAATTTTTGGTGCCAAAACTGTATTATCCATTGAGGTTTTCTGAGATGCAGCTTTGCTGTTTAAAGTGAAACAGTGAATGGTGCGTTTTTTTTTTTGTATTATTCTTTCAAAAGGAACGACCTATGGAGTATTATGTTACAGTGAATCCATCCTTCATTGAGGTATCCTTGCACGTCTTGGGATCTATCTATGTTCCTAACGATTTTAACTATCTTATCCGTTTGTGCTAATGAGCAAAAACGTGCGAGAATAAAGTTCTAGTTGAATAAAAGGTGCCGATCGGTTTCAATCAAAATTAGATGTGAGGCCAATTTGAAGAATACATTGGGAAAATAAGCAATGAATCTTTTAAAAAGTAGTCCAAATTATCATTTTATTTTTTAAAATTGAAAATAGTCTTTTCTATTTCATCTTTAATAATCAATTCCCACTTTTAAGAACAACTATTATATTTCAACTTTATTTCCCCCTTCATTGGCTCAAGCCGATGGCCATAAGACAAGACACTGAGATGTGAAATTCATTGTCAAAATCCTCCATCACAAAGCGTGTGAGCATAAGGAAACCGCCGATTGAGATGCACAGCACGCTGAAAATTGTTGAGAGCAGTTTCATGGTCTTTTTGGTAAGCGGTAACAATTACCTATAGCACACCATGGTAATTGCACACCATGCTTGAGGAGATAACCGATTAGTTGAGATCAACTCTTGGGCCAGGAAGCGTAGCCTCATCTCTTCCTCTAGATGAAAAAGAACAATGGAGTAGATATTCATCCCCTCTAGAGTGAGACACATCGAGCCCAACTAAACGCACGATCAGCCTCCAAATAATCCACCATCTCAAAGAATGACCTCGCGAAGCACCCATCCTGTAGCGTACTGAGACTGTGAAACATTGTTATAGTCTTCACGGTGCCCAAACCGTTTTAGAGAGAGAAAAGGGATTTTATCCCAATCGTTGACTTCTTTGGTAAAGCATCGCTTAGATCTGAATCGGTCACTAATTCAAAGCCATAGACTCCTCGGCTCAGATCTGAGGTCAAAATATTTCAAGATCGTCTACTCTGTTGTTGGCTCAAATTCAGTTAAAAAAAAAAAAAAAATGGTTTGAGTCGTGTTTCGACGCTATGATTTGTTTCTCCGCCGAGTCGTGTTTTGACTCTTTAATCTGTTTTGGATCCAACTGTGCTTGTTTGATGATCGAATTTCTTGATCCTGATTGTTGATCAAGTTTTCTGTTACTTGATTCTGTTTGATGATGGAGTTTTTCGTTACTCCATCCTGTGTGATGACCAGGCTGTTGTGAATGCCTATGTTTAATGAATGAGTTTTTCGTTACTCAATTATGTTGGATGATGGAGTTTTCCATTGCTCTATCCTGTGTGATGATCGTCGAGTTTTTCGTTACTCGATCTCGGATGTTCCGAATAAGATAAAAAGATCCTTTTGTTTTAGAGAGAGAAAACATCTAGAAAGAAAAGAAGCCTCTGAAGAGATAAGATCTTCAGAGAAGCCTCTGAAGATTCTCTGAAGAAGCCTCTGAGGAGATAAGATCTTCAGAAAGAACAAAAGCCTCTGAAAAGAGAAGATCTTTAGAGAAGCCTCTGAAGAGAGAAGATGTTTAGAGAAGCCTGTGAAGAGAGAAGATCTTCATAGAAGAAAGTAGAGAGCCCAAGAAAGGTTGTTTATTGGAAGACCACGGTAACCTGTAAAATTTATCATGGATTTGATCACTACTCTTTTTTATTTTTTGGTAACTTAATATTGTTCAAACTTCAGCTGCTTTGTGTCAAAGCATCTTGAGTCAAAGCATCTTCAGCCCAGACCTCCTCCTTTTATAGCCCTCGTATCATCAAACGGATTTCAAAGTTTTTCAAGTCCGCCCAATTGGTGGCTGCCAGCTGGTTACAGTGAAAAGGTGTCGGCAAAAAGGACACGCTAGTGGCTACAGTAAAAGGTGTCGGTGATGTTGATGTGAACAGAAAAAGGAGAAGATTACTATTTTGATGGCTTTTATTATTCTGTCGGCAGGACTCGTGTGTGGGTTGCAGTCGTTCTGTCATGTATATTGTTTTATCCTCTATTGTGATATCCCGAAGTCAATGTCTTCGTTTTCTTGTTCGTAGTTCTCCTCATTTTGTGTTGACCTGGACATCACTTCTTCTTCATCATCGAATATTTGGAGCAGCTACTTTTTGAGTTCTTCCCTAGTTGAAGTATGGTTTTGTTGACGAAGTTTATTTATATAATCCGTCACTTTTACTTCGGTATCAGGGGGTGAAAATGGTACCTTTCTTAATTTGTTTTATCAAGGTTTAGAGTTTCATTTTTGTATACATCTCACCACTTTATGTATATTTGCTTACCTATTTCTGGGATATATTCCCAATTATTTGTATAGTCATCAGATATATGGTATGACCATTTCATGATCCATGGTATTTGGTATAAAGCCATAAAGTACATATGGAGGTCTATGTTTGAATCGTTATTGTTATATTCTATGAACTTCCTTTGCGAAGCTTGAATATTAGGTGGCAATATTTTTGTTCCAGATCCCCATAATTGAAACCAATTTAGAAATTCTCTTGGTATTGATATTTTTATTTGTATGAACCATGTATGGGAATTATTAATATTTTGAAAAGCAAAGACCTCATGCCATGCTTTAATATATTGATAATATTTATCGTTGAAACCTTTATTTTGTAATTTTCTAAGTTTCAAGGGGTCCGTCCTCCATTCTTTGTATGAATGATTTTCCTTATTTGAAACTTGGAATATGCTTTCATATTAGTATTTTTCTTATAAAAATAGACTATGGTAACAGATCCGGTTTCAAGAAGAATGGTTTCATACCATTCTCGGCTTTTGTTTCCATTATTTGGGTGCAAATGGTTTTTCAAATATATAGCGGCTATTTCATATGGGTCTTTGGTTTTATGAATGTCTTCCATTACAGTAATGGTTATGAAAGAGGTTTCTATGAACTTGCTCTTTTCTCTAGTTGTATTTATAGCTATTGGTATTGGTTCAAGAGAAAAAGTTATTTTCTGGGCTTATTTTTTGATTATTTGGTTTGGTGTTATTGGTGGTGATGATGCTGCCAAGGTTTTACCTAGCACAGGAACGATTTCCATTTTCCCCTTTTTTGCTAAACTCCTCTTGTCCCCCCTGCAAAAACTCACGAGTTAAAAAATCAGGAAGGTAATTAGTAGTGCCTTTGTTATGTTCAACTTCAACTTCAAAGGAAGAGAGGATACCTTGCCAGCGAGCAAAAATCTGTTTAGAGACAAGATTTTTGACATCTTTATGGAGTATGTCTTTTGCAACTTTACAATCGGTACGAATTAAAAAAATTTGGTTGAGCAAATCATTTTGAAATTTTGTGATTACTCTTCTTGAGTATGTACAAGAGGAGGAGAGGGTTTTTTATTTGTTTTAGCTATATCGAGAGAGAGAGTAGAGTTGCAGAGAGAGAGAGTACAGTTGCAGAAAGCACTGAGGAAAACTTGAGAGCAAAGATCACTGAGAAAAACTTGATATTATATACTGAACCAAAGCTTCTCACTTAGTCTCTGGATCAGTTATTTTATCGATTATATCTATGATTAGGTTTTCTTCTTTTGTAAGAGTATTACAAAAACATGCAGTATCAATATTCTCAATATCAGAGTCTGAACTGCTTAGAATCAACTCTTCGTCCTCTATTTCTCCTGTTAGCATTTTTATATCTGGATCAGAAGAACTTTCAGAAGATTCTTCTTCAATTTGTAATATACTAAACAGTTGCTCTTTGATACTGTCATCTATTTGTAAAGCAAATATTTTCTTCTTGATTCTACATTTATTTTTATAATGACCTACTTTTTCGCAATTATAGCCAACAGCAATTTTCCTCTTTCCTTTGCTTTTAAAAGAGGTATTTCTAGGAGAAAACTTTTTAGAGAATCTTTCTTT